TTTGGAAAGAGGTGTAGCGTGATAAGGGATACAATGGTCTTTTTGTGCATTCTCTTGTTCCCTTTCTAACAGCGATAGGCAGAGATTGGCACTTGTTTGAGATTCAGTTATGCTTTGCAATGGTATAGAGTCAGAAATTGTTACCTCGTTTGAAGGACCAATATCAAATTCTCGGAAGAATGTCCTTTTGTCTTGAGTATACCAGGTTCTTCCGAAACCGAGTGGATTCGGATTCTGGAATAGGTTCACGATCTGGTGGAATTGTTTCAGAGTTACGAGTAACAGGAGTACTTGGGGAGTGTTTAGGCTCAGGGATAGGAGTGGAGTGAGATTGGGATGGAATAGGCTCACGAGCTGGTGAAACGATTTCGGGATCGTGGATAATAGGAGTATTTGGGGAGTGCTCAGAAATAGAAGTGGAAGCTAATATAGATAAGTCAAGTAAAAGATCTTCCAGGCTACCTTATCTTCCTTTCCATCCTCCCCCTAAAGATAAGGTTGGGTGAAGTAGGGATTGTTTTCGCTAAAGCTTACATCCCTTGACACAAAAAACTTTCTAGATGGGGCGTGGGGGTGGTAACATTTGTACCCTTTCTGGGTTGAGGAATATCCCAAAAAAACACACTTTAGAGCCCGAGGATCAAGTTTGTTTCTGTTTTGGCTATGGACGTGAATAAATGAAATACATCCAAAAATACGGGGTAAAAGATTGTTGGAAGTGGACACATTTGGGTAAAAGGAAGAAAGTACATCCATAGGAATTTTGAATCCTAGAACTCGGGTAGGAGTCTATTTATAAGATAAGTTGTTGTGAGCACTGCTTCTCCCCAAAAATATTTTGGATCATTATTTTGAAATAATAATACTCTGGTTTGATCTAATAAAAGACCATTTTTCCTCTCTGCCACTTCGTTCTGTTGAGGTGTTTTAACACATGAAGATTCTTGAATTATTCCCTCTTTTTGAAAATAGGAGGTGAGAGTTTGATTAAAAAAGTCTCGAGCATTATCAGATCTTATTTTTTGAACTTTTACTCCAAATTGATTTTTTACCATCGAAACGAAATTAGGGAGAATAGTGCTAACATCAGACTTATGTTTTAATAAGAACATCCAAGTAACCCGTGTACAATCATCAATGAAGGTCACGCCCCATCTTGCATCCGACACATTGGAAATATTAGATGGACCCCAAATATCAGTGTGAAAAAGACAAAAAGGAGAGTTGCTTCTTTTATCACTGATAAGAAAAAGGATACGCTTGTGTTTAGCAAGCTCACATACCTCCCAATGAAGGCTTTCAACATCGATTATTTTAAACAAATAAGAATAGATAACTTTAACAATCCTAAATGAGGGATGACCTAAACGACAATAATGAAGTGTGATTTTTTCTTTATTGGAAAGAATAGATTATGAATACGAGAGAGTGAGATAATTAGGTACTTTTTGGCATCTCAAGACAATATAGATCATCCTTTTCCTTAGCAAGTCCAATCGTCTTCCCCGAATCCTTTTCCTGAAGCAAACAATATTCGTCACAAAATACCACTTGACAAGGTAAATCTCATGCTAGTTTCTTTACGGAAATCAAATTAGTGGACAATTTTGGGGCGTGAAGAACATTTTTTAAAAGAATGGATGAGCTGAGTTGAGTTGAATATATCCTATACTGGCTACGGTGGTTTGGGTTCCATCAGCAGTGGCAATTTTCTTGTTACTTGGACAAGATGAGCATGTGGAGAAGTGTTTGAAAGAGTGAGTCATATGGTCAGTTGCTCCCGAATCAATGATCCAAGAGTATTTTAGGGGGTGTTTGGTTCGCAAAATAATTTCTAAAGGATTGGAATCTGTCAATGGAATTGGAATATGGAAGAAATTGGAATGGAATGTTATCAGGTTTGACCAAGTGTTTGGTTGACAAGAATGGAATGTAATATGTCCAATGAATTGGAATCTTCCTGTTTGGTTTACAACAGAATCGGAATGGAATTATGAAAAATAGACAAAAATACCCTTTCTTTGATATTTTCTTAATTTTTTAATCACAAATAATAATAAAATTAACATTTAATGAGCAGATTGTTTGACCTTTAGATTTTTGTGAGCTCTGTTTCGCTGCCATCTCGGAACAGAAATCGGAAACGGTAACAGAAATTAGAACAAAAATCGGAAATAGAAATTGTATAGAAATAGAAAACAGTAAGCAGAAAAATCGTATGCATAAATCGAAATTGGAAGAAGAAATCGTATGCAAAAATCGAAATCAGAAGCCGAAATTGGAAGCAGAAATCATAAGTAGAAATCGAATCTGCAGTCTTCGATCGATGATGAAGATGAACAAGTCGTTCAAGATGAGAGAAACCAGGTTCGATATTGGAAGCAGTAGATGAGAATGGAAAAGGTGCGGCAAGGGTTATTAAGTTGTAATGATGGTATTTTTGTCATTTATAAAATTTTTGGATGGAATGGATTTCAATTCCATCTCTTTTATGAAGGAATGGTGAAATCCTTAAATGTGGGAATGTTTGGAATTCAATTCCAACATTGGAATGGAATTTCAACGAAATTGACCTTTCCCGGATCCAGATTCGTAGTTGGTTCTATTTTCCCTCCTTATCACATTTTCGGCCACCATTGCCGAGCCATTCATTGGAGGGGTCTCAAGCATTGAGGTTCTCTTGCTCTCCTCACTTCTAACAATAGCCACCACTTCATTAAAGCAAGGTACTTCAGATTTTCCAAGGATTTGAATACTCACTTTATCAAAGTCAGAGCTTAAACTACAGGAAAGTCATAAACCTTGTCATGCTCAATGAAGTCCTTGAGTATCACCGCATCTTCAGAGCAATTGGTCTTGATTACCCTATAATGGTCGAGTTCTTGCCACAATGATTTTAATTGATTGGCATACTCAGTTACTGGTTTGCTTCCTTGTTTTGCTGCCATAGTCTTGACTTTCACTTCATAAACCTGAGCTGCATCTTTCGCTTTAGAGTACGTTTGTTGAATTGCATCCCAGATCCCTTTGGCATTAGCCTTGACATCATAGTGTCACTTATTTCAGGAATCATAGAACTCCATAACCACGCCATGATCATGGAATCTTCTTCATCCCATGCTTCGAACTTGGGATCTTCTCATTTGGGTTGTTCCGGTGAGATGACTGATTTTTCCCTTCCCTTTCAGGATGGTTCGAACTAGTTGGGACCATTTGAGATAGTTCTTTCCATCCAATCAGTATGATGCATGGATGTGCTGCAGATCTCCTGGTTGAGAAACATGGGTTATGGCAGATTCTGATTTAGGTTCTGTCATTCTTTCGGTGTTGGGTTAGGAATTGTTGGCAATGAAGGCCACAAAAAAAGGAATCAAAGGAAGGAGGCAATGAAGGCCTGCGAAATTTTCAAAGAAGGTTTATGAAGGCTAAAAAGGCTTCCCAAGCTTCCATAGCTCTGATACCACAACAGATTTAGGAATTCTGTTGTGTTTCTTATTCATTATTGACAGAGAAGCATACAAAATAAATACACAAGGCAAGAGAAAGAGAAGGAAACTATTCTATGAATCCCTGATTTTATGGGATTGCCTACAATCACTAATATTATGAGATTATAATCGGCTCCCCTTACTCCTACATTAAATACATAATCATTTACATGTTTACATTTTCCCACAAATAACTGATGTATGTTAACTTCTCTATGATTTATATGTCGATATTATGTGTGGTCCCGCCTCGAGAATTATGATTAACCAATAGTACTTATGAAATGTGGCACTGAACTATAAGGGTTTAATCTGCGGCCTCTTTGAACTGTTAGCATTGCTCTCTTCAGTTCAAGCGAAGGGTAGTATCACAGTTCAGATCGACTTCCTAGCATACGGAATACAAAATGGATCCCAAAGCCGCTTTGTTTTAGCTTAGACTAACGGCACCAATTCCTAGTGCTATAATAGAACCTGTCATTAAAGCCCTCACAACACTCGATAGTTGATACATGCTCCCGCTTATTGACTACGGTGAGTCACTCAAGTCCATTGTCCTCGTCCCCATGGCAGAAGCTTTAGAGATCTCGAGGGGAGAGAAGGCAACGGTTGGAACACCATTAAAAATAGTACAGAGTTCTTTACAGGCATAATATCACAACAATCTAAATCCTCGTGCACCACGTACAACAAGAGAGGATTGTCCCTTCCTTCCAGTGTTGCTAGTCACTGTTCTAAGATTCGAAGGTAGAATATCGAGTAATGTGAAGAGTATATATGAGATACTTTGGATTAAAAGATTTTTTTTCAGGCTTGAGATTAAAAGAGTTTTTTCAGGCTTGAGATTATAAAGGAAAAATTGGGCGTTGGAATAATCTGACGCAGCCACATATTAACCTACCTTTGACTTTCTTGTACCAAATTGGGCATGTATGATATATATGCACCAACTTATGGGGAGTGCAGAAAGGTTGTGCATTACATAGTGGTTCATAATGCTTAGGTAGTTGTACAATTAGATGGCAAAATGATTTAAATTTGGTAGACGTATTCTCTCTCAAGTTAGTTACAACAGGTAGATGTATCTCAATGTATTTAAACATCCTTACAGCTCTATGAAACCAATTGAAGCCTCCAATATCTCCAAACAAACACCATCATATTCATGTGTTTCAGCTCTAGGATATCATTTCATTTGTCAATGCTTCATCTATTTGCAAGTTCAAGGGAAAGGTGCATGTTCAAGATTCAAGTCAAGTCCAAGTTCATGTTCGTCTTTCGTTTGAATGTTTTAATGTAAAGTACTGTATTGTATTCAATGGGATTTAAGCAGTGCAACTTTTTTGTAATTGCTAGCGTATTTTGCATCTCTTTTAAGGTCCTGATCACTATGATATTATTTTGCCAAAAAAATGTATACAGTGAATAATGAGCTAATGAGCATAAACAACAAAACCGGAGACTACAGTAACCTGCGCAAAATGTTAGTTCCATATCAGACTGCAGTTTTACCTTATTCGTTGACAGCAGGTAAAAGAAAAAGGGATCTAAGAAAATGGCCAATAAGCAAGAAATGACAATGAATTGGTTCCATTGCTGAACAACTTTAGCATGTGGATTCATGACCCCAAATGTGAACTGTTTCAGCAAGGATAACTTTGTTCTTGCCCACCACTTTACATGATGCTGCAAAAGAACAGAAAAAACCAACTAACAAACCCACCAATCGAAAGGAGATGACAAGTACAAGAGAAGAATTGTTTTATCGTAATTAAAGAGAAACAACGATTTACATGATGTTAACTTAAACATGCCAAATAAACCAATGATCCAGCCATTGAGACAGCACCAACCATATAAGCATTCAAGCTGTTAAAGCATCACATTCAGCTATTTGTTCTTTTTTGAAGTCTTCTTTTATTATAATTCCTGAGACTTTTTGGAGAAATTCTCTCTTTTTCACACACTTCTCACAAGTCAAGGGTCTTCATGGAAACAACCAAAGACCCAAACCTCCGGGTAGAAGACAGGTCCCACCAGGCTTCTTGTTGTCGATATAAGGACCCTTTTCAGAATAATGTAGTACTAATAATAATAATACTCTCCTTTAAAAGGGAATGTTTGTTTCGAACACTTTTTGGGAGTGGCTTGTTATTTGGCTACAAACCATTTGGAGTTACTAAACTTGGAGGGCATATGCAGGGAGGGGTAGCCCAAGGATTGAAGTCGGTATTTTGCATGCCCTACACAAGATATAACATTAACAAAATAGAAAAAAATAAAGTACCAGGCCAGGTTAACCCCCATCTGGGACTTATTAGGGCCCACAGGCATGAACCAGTTCAAGGTCTGGGTGGAAGGACCAGTCATGAGTTGGTCTGATTTTTTAGAGGAACAGGTCTTCATCGAGTATAAATCTAAGAAGGATCAATTCGGGTTCAATTTTTGTGTACCTCTCTTCCGATCACAAATCTTCCTCTTGAGTTCTTAGGTTTTTCCTTGTAATTATAAGAACTTGGGCATGTTGTACAGTAAGGATCATTGCACATTCCCAATTGTCCTGACCTCAATAAGTGTTCATTTTTATGATCTCCCAGTTGATGATTATGCATTCTGATGTTTTCTTGTTCCACATGCTCTCTCCTTTCCGTGCCAATGGCACCATGGATGGACTGTGAAGGATTCCCTTGTCTTGGTGTTTTTCTTCCACCACACAAGGGACCTGTAAAGCAGACAGGAGTTGTTGGACTGGAATTCAATTCATTGGAGCTCGGTAGGATGGATATTGAAACACTTCTGTTCCTGTGTGACAACCTTCGCTGTGGATTATGCTCATGTCTATCAGATGGCCAGTCTGTATCAGTTAACATTGGCACCTCATCTTTCTCAACAGCATCCATCCATCAAGCATCAAGTGTCACAGCTGCATAAAATATATGAAAACAAGTTTGCATGACCATTACAATGCAACAGGTGACTTTTCTTAAACATAAAGAGAATAGTAATAAATTATTTACTTACTAAAGAACTAGAAATTCGGTGTCAAATTTAAATTTGAATAATTGATGTTTGAGGTACAAAATAGATAGTCGATTATTTTAATTTTTCCAGAAAATAGGGTATTTTTTAAGATGGAAAAGTATTAGGACAAATAACAATTCTTGTACAAGGACCAATACCAAACAAGTTAAACATCAATCTCTACACCAAAAATAATCTAAAGTTCTACATACTAACCGCCATCAGATATCGAATCAACAATAAGAACATCCAGATGAATCTACCACAAGTTAGAATGGGCAAAAGTAGGGGGAGAAAAAGCAACTCCCCTTAATGAATAAAGAGCACACGATTCTATAGAATGGTTTATACTGTGTTGGAAAACCCACTGATCCCAAATGTGCAACAAAAAAAACTTATTTGAATTGGCCCTTTCCATTCCTATCATCATATCACCCTACCAAAAGTAAGTTTCTTCCAGGAGAAAAGAAGCATGAATTTTAACATTTTACACAAGAAAATCGACCTACAAGTATAAGGTTAAACAGGGAAAATCTACAATTACACCAACTTCATCATCAAACTTGCAACAATTTCCTTTTATCGAACATGAACAGAACTAAAAACACACTCTCAAACAGAAAAAATAGTGAATGCATAATATGTAATCATAAATTAACGTTAGTAGTTTGGGATCAACACATTCAGTTGTACTGAATCACATTTGGTGCCAACAATCAATGACCATCTTCTACATTTATCAAGCAAAATTGAATATTGAAGTGAGTTCATGATCAAATGAAGCATAATCAGTAACAAAAAAGATAAACAAATATAGAACAATTAAAACAGAGGAAGTTAAGACATACCCTTTTAAGGACTCCATCAAGCGCGGGAAATCACAAGCAGCTATAAAGATTGTGTGTTCAAAAAAGACTCAGAATTCAAGAAGCGAAAACCAAAATGAAAAGGGAAACAACGGTACGAACGGGGCATGCATTGATTGAGTTAACAGTGTCACTGATAGGTGTATTAGGGTTTTGGTTTATTCGGTTTTCAAAGTTCTTCGAACTAATTAAACGGTTTCGAGTTATTATTTTAAGTGTAAATTACATTGTTCATATTATTTGGAGTAATTACAAATTTCGTCCCTGTAATTTTATGTCGGTTACAAAAAAGGTCTCTCAAATATCAAAATTTAGGAGTAGGGTCCTCATGGTTTTATATTCGTTATGAATCGGATCCCTTGTCCTAACTTTCGTTAAAAAATTTCTTTGAATCACGGGCGTTTTTGTCTTTTTCTCCTTTTTCTTCATTTTCTTTAAAAAATAATTTGCTTAATATATAACGTGTATATATATAAGGTTGGGTTCGTATGAATTTTAAAATCTATATAAACCGTAGGAATACCTCTATGACCGTCGATCATGATTCGTGCACCAACGCACATGCTATCGAAATAGAGGGGCAAATCGGTCATTTAACCATTGCATCAACGTTGTTTGTAACCTGTGTTAAGGTTTTCATAGTTACTTTGTGTTACTATGAGTTAAGGTGTGTTAAAGTTTGCATGTTAAAGATGTATTAATATTTTCATGTTGATATACATTAAGAATTTAAGATTGTATATAACCTATATTCGTGAATGTTCGGAGTTGTTATGGAGCGTTAACATATTAAGGTTGAATATGTTCATGTTAACTTATGTTAACATGAACAGTTTCAAGTATATTAACGTATTTTATGGGGGTTATAACTTATGTTAAACTTTGCGTCCACCTAAATCGTTGTCATCAAAGTTCCGTTTTATTATGAACATGTCGTGGGCTCGCCCATTTACAACGTCAAATTTGAAGCGCAATCTCATCCAAGGGCAACCGAGAGGGTCTTATGGTATTTACAAATAAAATTCCTACATCCCAATTCAATATGTATGTATACACGTGTGTGTGTGTGTGTGTGTGTACCTAGGAAAATGCCATAGAGCCTCCCCAAAGAATGGAATCGACGACGCCCCCTTTTCGTTTCCTCCCTGTCACTGACCACCACCATTTCCGGCCTCCTCACCTTTCATCTCCCTTATCTCGTCCTCCTTTTTTTCCAGATCTTGACGGCAACAAATCTTGAACCACATCTCCCCGTCTTTCCGCCAACCCCCATTATTTCCTTGTTTTCCGTCGACGCCTCATAACCTGCAATTTCAGCCGCCTTTAGGCCTTCTTCTTCAAGATTTGAAGTGGTGGTTCCAAATCTGAACTAAAGTAAACTAAACTTGATCCATACTCTATGTTTTAAGAACTTCCCTGAACCATTATACATGGATTCAACCAAAAAAAACGTTAATGAAAACAAAAACAAGAGGAACTCAATCTGGTTTGGGATTAACCACAATGGTGGTGTCCAATTAATTTGAGTTTGGGCTCCAAAGGTCAAAAGTACCTGGGTGGTTAAAATGTTTTTAGAATAATGAATAAAAAAAGCCAAAATGTTTATGACTTAACGAAGTTTTTTAATGGAAGTTAAAGCAACGAACCTCATTCATAACGAAAATAAAACCTTGAGGATTCTAATCATGAATTTTAGGGTTGAGGGACCTTCTTTGTAACCGGCGAGAAACCATAAAGAAAATTTTGTAATTTACTCTATTTTTTAACTCCTTTAATCTCAAAACGAGAATAAATAGAAACTGTGGTTTAGGACCAGACCAGATTAGTGTTAGGGATCACTTTCGTAGAAAGATGCTAACCGTGATGACCAAAATTATATATGTTAAAGCTAATGAACCACTTTTACCTACTTATTGGAATTTAAGGACATTATTCGCAGTTAAGAATCAAAATTGTAGTTTTATCTCTCTCTCTCTCTCTATATATATATGTGTGTGTGTGTGTGTGTAAGTGGAGGTGGAGGTACAAAACAAGAACACCTCCATTTTTACGAAATCGTGAGGGGTCCGATGGTGTGCAGACGGAATGTCCTACAACCTAGATTTGTCAAAGGTCGTGTGGTCGCTGATTTAGTATCACATAGGAAAGATTATAATATCACATCAAGAACACCAATATTACATGTAATCATGTAAGAGAGGGTCTAGTGGTGTAAGGGGGACTACTAGTGTACCGACGACTTGACCCGTAATGTAACACCCAAATTTTTTGGTAAAGTGAAATTCCAAGTTTTTTTATATATTTTTACCCTTAGAATAGTTTTATCAAGTATTCTGAGGATTGGTTATGTTTGGGTATGAAAATAATCAAAAAAGAACCAAGGAATGAAATTTCAGCATGTTTGTATCAAGTTTGAATTTTTTTTTTTAAATCATTGTTTCACCTATGAACTTTGTTAAGAGGAGAAAGGCTTGGTGTCGGTGAACCTCTCGAAGAAGTTTCGGGACTCGACATCCCTCATTTCCTACCTATTTTCACATATAATATAAGGAGAATAGAAAGCGTACTCACTACTATCTACAATGCGATCTCTTGCCTACCAGAACCCATCATCGCCTTATCGGATCTTTTCCTTCCGTTGTGCTCTCACTAGCTCCTTTCTTACCCTATCGAAGATTGTTATGCATCTTAGAAACAACAGATACATCAGCAGGACTCTGCAAGTGGAAGGTCGCATAAGGACTCTCTCGAGAAGCTCTTTCCACTTCCTTAATTATCGCATTCACTTTTTGGTTTCACCTATGAACTTTGGTAACAAAAAATTAAAACAACCATAGTTTGTACACGAAACAACATTATGAACTTCAAACAAAAATCATTGTTTATCTATGAACTTTGTTTAAATTACCTTAATTATTTTATTCACTTTCTGGTTTAAAACTTTTGAACAACCAAAATTCATACACGAACGGAAAGGAATTTAATTCCAAAAATTAACCAAATTTACAGGATAAATGAAAATAAAGCCGAAGTTGTTAAAAGCAGACAAAGGCATAAAGTTAATGCTAGCATCAAGATCACATAAGGCTTTTCCCGCTTCTTTCACACCTATAGAACATGGTATTGTGAAACATCCGGTATCTTCCAACTTAAGTGGAATCTTTTTTGACAAAGATGTACTTCAACCTTCAGTAAGGGCTACTGTTTTCATATTCATTATGAAATTTGGCATAACTAGACATGTTTTGCTTTTTCTTACTCAAAATATCTTCAAGAAATGGGCATAACTAGACACGTTTTTCAAAAAAAATTCAACCAAAGAGATGTTGATGTGCAATTGCTTGAACACATCTCGAAATTTCTTAAATTGTGCTTCCTCTTGATTACTTAACCTCTATGGGTAAGGAATGTAAGATGGAACTAGTATCATGACAACTTGCTTATGAATAAGTGTAGGTTTCACACGTGTATAAACATGTTGTGCTGCAAAAATAGTGTATATATGTGGTAGACTTGTTGTAACATCATTTTGCTTTTGACTTTTTTCTTGGCTTCATTAGGAAATAATGAAGGGAAGTCTGATCTTTCTTATGGACACAGATTCTTCATTAGGGAATAGCATATTTTTTCCAGTACAACAGTATTTGGTGAACTATCCACTAAATCCTTTCCACTTCTTAAGGTTATAACTTTCACATGTTCATTTAGTCACATTTCTAGGGATCTCAATATCATTGGGAGTGTTCCAACACGTTTATTTCTTAACTTAATTGTCATTTGACCAATTTGTTTCCAAATTCCTAATGGTATCAGTTTGATGATTCATTGTTGAAGTGGTTAGGTTAATAAACCCCTTCAACAACTTCTAAAGAAGTAGATGAATCAACTTGCTTGTTAAACTTGTTTTGGAAAGATGATTGATTTTGCTGAAAATGAGTCTGTTGGTTTTGTGAGAGTGGATTCCCAATTTGTAATCTTCTCGTTAGTTCCTACAATAAATTGAGAGAAACCTTAAAGAGAAGATATATTTGAGAGAGAGAGAGAGAGAAAAGAGGCGATGGAGAGGGACGATGTGTATTTACTCTAATGATAAAATAGCATCAACCGCAGGGCATCATTAGTTACTTCATTAAAATGAAATGAGTCAGTGACTTTCATAAAGAACTGAAGATGTGAGTGTGGATCCTCTGATGGTAAACCACTTGTTTGTAACATGATTGATATGAGTTCAAAATGAACAATATCAATTTGTGGTCTAAGAATTCCATTTTGCAACCGGTGAAATCAGGAACTACATGGTCCATGATACCTCCATTTTTTAAGTTTGTAATATCAATGATGTTTTGTGCCTCATTTTTTATATGTGGGTCTTGAAAAAGTGGATCAAACTGTGGATCAGGATTAGGATTTGGTTATGGTTTTGGATCTGGTTGTGGATTACCTAGAGGTTGTTCCATGCTATGAAAAGTTAAAGCACTAATCGAGGCTCTTTGTACTCTCTTCCTTTGTCGAAATTTTATATATTCGGATTTGGTTGCAAGATTTCACTGTGAGGTAATCATGGCGTACACTTAAAAACAAGGTGGTAGAAAAATCAACTTTTAAACATGACTAAAGATCCTTGAATTTGGCTTGTCCCTGAGAACGACGCCAAAATCTTGGTCGGAGGAAAGTATAACTTAGAAAAAGGCTACAACAACTAATGAATCATGCAAGTATACGTGTCTCACTAGTGTCGTCCAAATCAAGTAATAACTGTAAGTATTGCCAATATAGGATTGAGGAAGTAAAACTTAAAAGAGTATTTTAGATGGTGAATAGAAACATTCTTTTTGTGAGAGTTAACAACTAATGAGATATAACAAAATTAAAAGAAAGTATGGGTGTAAGATCTAGTGGAGATTTTAGCTCAATTACATCATAACCTTGCTACAACATAACATTAGATTGTTGCAACAACAGTTTTTAACATCACACTATTGGATTGGATGACTTTCTTTCGAAGTGAATTCGGACACTTACTAGTAGTACCCTCATCGTATTAGTGATGACTACAAATCCAAACATGGTACTAAACTTATCTTTCTTTCCATATAGGTATGACTATATCAGTTGTTAGCAAGCTGCAACATTCTAGAACTCTTTAAATCTCTT